GTAATAGTTAACTCATGAAAAGTTATGAGATCTTATAGTAACAACCAGTTTAATGGAAAGGATGGGGAGGATGAAAGACATAACCCTGGAGAATAGCAATATATAAGAAGTGAGCCGAAGAAAAGGAATATTCTATGAAGACCAAGAGGAAGTGCTCAGAGCAATAGAGGACCAGGAGAAGAAATTTCAAAAAGAGAATGTTCAGTACTGTCAATAACAGCTGAAGCATTTAGCAAAATAAAGTCTACGAGTACTCATTGCATTTGCCAATGTGCAGATTACAGATGTCTTTAGCTTAAACCAGCCCGGTGGTTTATGCAAAGTTAGTGTCTAATGGTTTGAGGAGCAGATGGCCCCTGTGAAACTGCACTGGGTCTCAACTGAATATGTTGGGCCTCCCAGCCTATAATAGGATGGACACATTACCAGCGTACTACTTGGAAATGTGTTTTTAGTCCGACTTTATTTCATTCTTGCAAAATTTCAATATAATTCAATAGGGCTATTGGGTGGAAGTGAGGGTCAGTGGGGAGCATTCACCCATGCATGGGAGGAATGTTCCTAAAATGCCACTTATGATTACAAGAACCAGAATTGGAAGAGCAAAGGAGAGTTCCTTTCAAGTCTGGCATTGAGTTTCCTTCTCAGAAACACTACAATATGGCAACCCTGCAGAATCTAGCTTGTATTTCCCTCTTTTCCCCTGTTTCATCATTAATGAATATATATTAGATTGTCAACCGTGGGCAGGAAAGCATTTCTTCGCCCAAAGCATATTATTTGCATGAGGGTGGTGTTGTCTTGTTTATGTGTCATGGAACCTGTGACCTGTCACATGTGATTATCATGTCAGCTTATTAACATGTCAGGGAGTGCAACTCCTGGTTTCCACCTCAGAGGGGAAGCTCCTTAGGGTGGGGGACATTCTGCTAGCCAGATGAGGCAGAGTTCTGCCAGCTTCCAGTGCCAGGGAAACCCTGGACAGTAATCAATACCAAACCTAACTATGAATAGGACCACCCAAGGGCACATGGCTGGAAACCAAACCTCCTTCCTACCTTGGTCTGATCTCTTGGCAAGTTTCCTTGCTGGTCCCAGCTTTGCTCCCACTTACTTGTGGAGGAATCCAAAGACAGGAGTTATTTTTAAAAAGGGTAGGGCAGAAAGAAGGGTTGGAAAGGCACTCTCAGACACTGGAAGGATCATGAGGAAGAGGGTTCTGGTTAGTTACATCACCCAGAGCTTCAGATTTTTAATAAATACTGATTGATGGATGGAAGTCAAAGTGAAAGCCAAGGAAAGATCTACACATGTTCAGAGATTTTTGAGTTAGAAATGCTCTCTTTCCAACCCTTTCCCAAAAGGAAATCACATGGGTGAAGCAAAGTAGTGATTAAGGAACTAAACAGGCCACAGCGTTCTCTGGGGCCTTCTAAGTTCCCAGGCCAGACCTGCTGCCTGCTTGCTGAGATGAGCATATGCTCCCAGCCACAAGCTTCACTTCTCCTGACATCTTTCTGCCAGATGGTCGTTCTTGAATTCTAGAGGTGCTTGGCCCTCCTGGTTCCTGCAACCTGAGCCGAGAGAACTTTGATCCACCAATCCCCCCCCCCCCGCCCCCACCCCCGCTAGGGAGCAAGGCCTGGCGCCTGGAAAGCAAGGAGAAGCCAGGCCACGACCTTGGGCACTCTGAGAAGGCCTTTTCTGCCGGCCTCTGTGTGCCCGAAGTAGAGCACGGGCGCTGATTCTGAGGGTCCCAGAGAGCCTTCTCCCCCCTGGCCAGCTAGCCAGCACAAACCCATTCTTTTCACCGTTTACTGGGTGAACGGGGCTCTCCATTCGGTCTTGAATCTCCCTGTGGGGTTATCCCGATGGCTTTTAATTACAATCCAGCAAATCCAGAATCTCAGCAAATTACAAATGTTGTGTAAACACAATCAGGGTGTGGATCCAACCTACTAGTAATTCTTAATAGAAATGAAAAGGAAAAGAAAAAAATAACCTTAAAAAGTCTAAAAAAGCAAAAAAAAAAAAATCAATTCTGCAGGGCCTATGCCTTGGGGATTTGCTTTCTTGGGGACCCTCCCAGAGCGTCCTCCAGCCCACCCTGCCGCCGCGACTCCCCGCGGTGATTCTGGCTGAGGCTGGGGGACTCTGGGACTTGGCCGCTGCAGCCGAGGCCTACCGGGTGCCTGCCTGCCGGAGTGCTGAAGAGCCCTGCGAGCCTGCTTTCCGCTGTCCCGCGGCCTCCACAGGATTCCAGAAAAAGCGCTCCGGATCGGGGAAAGGGGGCCCTGCCGCCTGCCTCCAGACCCTGTCCCAACACTGGCGTCTCCCTTTTCCCAGACACCCTCTTAATCTGACCCTGAGTTCCCGTTTCTGGGCTTGGAAGACATTTTGCCCGCCCCTCCCTCCCCAAGGTCCTCAAAGGCCACCCCAACCGCTGGAGCGGGACTCCCAGCCTCGGGCCTCTAGAGCGACGGCAGGAGGTGCGCTGCTGGGGCTGAACTAGCCCCACACAGTCGGAGGTATTTGTACTTTCAGTCCCGGAGACATTTTGAGGAAGTGTGCATAGAAAATTTTATATAATATAATCTATATACACACATATACATATTTGGTCGACAAATGTTAAGCAAATGTGTCTGATGTTTTTGTTGAAGCCGTTAGCATCCTAGTTAATATTGGTAGGACTGGTTGATATTATTACAGGAATGACAAGTGGATAATGTTAAGGGAGTGCCTGATCCCTCCCGAGAACACGGCGGAATATAAGTGGAGACGTCCGACTGTGTTTCCAAGGAGGGTCCATCTCTGATCTCTCTTCCCTGTCGCTACCTCCTGGTCCCTAAGCAGACTGACGGACGGCACGCCAGGGACAAGGCAGCTTTCTCCCAAGGGCGATCTTCTTCGACTCACTGAGATCGCTGGGTCTCCAGGGGAAGCAGCATGTCCAGGGGATGTCCGAAGCCCCTGACCTCTTACCCAGACCTTTGTCACAAAGGTCGGTCAGTGTCGGGACAAAAAGAAACGTTAAATTCAACTGTAAATGAGGGTAGAGAAGCAGGGAGCGGCTAGGGCCTGGAGATTGGCTCCGGGAGATTGGAGGAGGCTGACCGGGCTGCGGGGACAAACCCAGCGGCGCCCCGCTGGGTGTGCAGGGAAGGGAGGGCCCCTTGGCCCTCTCACCCCAGCTCATCCAGCAGGACGCCTGGGGAAGACCTCTCCGTGCGATTAAGTAGCGTCCATTGGAGCGAGCGGGTGGCACTGCCACGTGTGGCGCTCAGCTGAGGCTCGCGGAGGCTGAGGTGTTGGAAATCCCGGCGGAAGGCATCTGCCTCAGCGCTCGCACTCGGTGCGGGCCCACCCGGGTGCGCGTCCGCCTCCCACCAGCCTCCCGCTAGCCCTGCCGCGCGGCTCGCACCGGCCCAGACGCGGACAGATGTTTACTGCTTAGAGCCCCGACCGCTGGGGAGACGGAGCGACGGGCACGGCGCACCGCTCGGCGCTGGTGGGGCTTTGAGCTCCCGGTCGGGGGTGCGAGCGGGCAGGAGGGGAGGGCGAGGGGATGGAAATGGGGGGGGGGAGTGGGTGGACTAATGATGAAAAAGTCTCCTCCATCCCGGCTCCTTAATTAAATGCATGGAAAGAACCGAGGCGAGCACATCTGGTTTCAATCTGCAGTCCTTTGATGGCATCACATGTTCTTTTCCCAGATCAGGGCTGGGAGTTCTGGGCTAACTATGGCCGTTTGGAGCCCAGAAACGATTTACACACACTCGGACCCTTCCTTCTCTCCAGTCGAGCCTCTTGGCTATAGAAGGGAAAAAAGCGGGTAAAAGTCTAGTAATCAAGCCAGTGGGAAAGTATGTATGTGTGTGTATATATGTTTGAAGGACATAAAATGCCACAAATAAGCACTTAATATTTTACTTACTCGTCATATAGTAACTCATTTCTAATGAGACTATTAAAGCTGTTACCAAATTCCAACAGGTCATGAAAAAATCCCTCAGCACCTCTCCGTTCCTTGTCAAGTTAGGGCTCAGCAGACGGACGGCAGAGCATTATCCGTAGACTTGGGGGTTCCTCTATCCCTTCCTGTCCTTCCTCCTACGCCCCCTCCCCCGCGCGCCCAGGCACCCGGGTAGGACCCTGAACTGCGCAGGACCCTAGCCCGGCCCCTCGCTCCAGGAATGCCCCTGCCTCCTTCTCATCTGGGCAACGCGACCCTCCCGGCTTAGCGTTGTCGCCTAGGGAAGCGACCTTGGCCGCAAGGAAGAGGTTACGAAATTGGCCAGAGTGGGGGGAGGAGGGAGCAATTATGCTACGGTCCTTGAGTCCTTTCCTCCAGCTAAATAAATATGTAAATTTCCTACTGCCTTGGCCCCGGGATTCCTAGCGGCGCGAGAGACTCAAATCGATTCGGCGCCTTCTGGATCTCCCTTAACCTGCCTTTCGTTCGCGGAAGAGCGTGGGAGAGCCTCCCATTATTATCATTCCTGTTATTTTATTACATTATTTAATAGGCAGTCTCTACGGAGCCAAACATAGCCTTAATTTGCTTACTCTCTCCTTCGTTCTCTCTCAGACACTCCCCCACCCCCCAAAACTGTTAGAACTGCAGGAAACGCTAAAAAAAAAAAAGGCAGAGAGAGAAGAAAATTTGATTGAGATAGTTGTGGATTTTTTCCAACAAGTTTCCCCGCAGCTGTTATCAAAACATGCAAATGAGATTTTCCAACAGGATCTTAAACAAATCTGGAGGAGTTAATGCCCAAGCAAAATAATCAGCCCGTTTGAAGTGACTGTGGGTTTCAGTTTGTCTTTTCTCCCCGTGATACTATTGCAGGGGAATGATAATTAGACCTTTACTTTAAAAATCCAAAGGGGCTCTCTCGCTTTCTCTTCCCTCCCTTTTCGCTCCCTCCTCCCTCTCTCGCTCCCTCCCTCTCTCTTTCTCTCTGGCTTAGATGTTGGCAAAGGGGGTTTTCTTAATCAGACTGTTTTTTGGTCCGAGGGAAAGGAGGAAGAAGGAGATTGTGATGGAGAAAGGGGGTCTGTAAAACGTCAGGCACCGCACAAAGGCTTTGCCACGTAATTACAGGCTCCTATTAAGTCGAGATCTGCCCTCCCAGGGGTCTCCAATTTTCTTGTATTCCCTACAAAGCCTCCTCTGCATGCCAGTTTGTGCCTTTTGAAGTGCCAGAGAGCTTCTTGATCCAACTGAGAAGGAAAAAGGAGCTCAGCAAGAAGAGGGGGAGAGCGAGAAGGGAAAGGGGGGAAACCCACCACCACCCTCCTTCGGACTCTTGAAGCCCTTTTTTTTTCCTTCTTACGAAAAGTAAAGTGAGAATCCTGCTCTCCAATACATCTGCAAGACATCACCCTCTCCTCCTGAAACTTTAGTCACTCCTGAGAATCCACAGGAGTGCAGAGAGGGGGAACACGTTTTCTTGAAGATGTTTTAAAGCTGGAACAAGCCTTCTTCTGTTGGTGCTTGAACTCTTGCCTGGGAATAACTTTTTTAACCTTGAAAAAAAAAAAACACTTTGATTCTTCTCTCCCACCCCTTCTTCTCTCTTCTTCTGTTTGCCTAACTCCCCCGCCCTGCTGGCCTCCCCTTTCCTTTCTCCCCCTTATTATTATTTTTAGTGTGTGCGTGTGGACGCTTTTGGAGAGCTGGAAGGAATTTTTTTTTTTTTTTTTTTTTTGCTCCTGACTTGAACATAGGGTGACTTTTTAATTTTATTTTTTGGTGTGGATTATCTCCTTGGACTGCGCCGGACTTGGCCTCAGGAAAGCAACCGAGGCTTTCGAAGGCTGTTGGTGCAGAACGCTCTGCTCTGCAGAAGGGGGTCCCCCGCCCTCTTTCCAATTTTTTTTTTGTCCTTCCCCTCCTTCTCTCTCTCTCTCTCTCTGTCTCCCTCTCTCTCTCTCTCTCTCTCCACTCCCCCCTCTCTCTTCCCCACTCGGCTCCTCTCCCCCCTCGCGCCCACAGCGTTTGGTGTTGATTCGAGCGGGAAGAGGGGGGTGGGTGGGATCGGAGGGGGAGACCATGACCTCCAGCTACGGGCACGTTCTGGAGCGGCAACCGGCGCTGGGCGGCCGCTTGGACAGCCCGGGCAACCTCGACACCCTGCAGGCGAAAAAGAACTTCTCCGTCAGTCACCTGCTAGACCTGGAGGAAGCCGGGGACATGGTGGCGGCGCAGGCGGACGAGAGCGTGGGCGAGGCCGGCCGAAGCCTACTGGAGTCGCCGGGACTCACCAGCGGCAGCGACACCCCACAGCAGGACAGTGAGTGAGGGACGAATGCCCGCGGGAGTGTCTGTCCGGGACCGGGGGCCAGGGTACCCGCTGGGCGCCTGGAGCCCGCCCGGACCAGGGGGAGAAAGTCCTGGGCCAGGAGAGGTGGTGGCAGTGGCCGGAGGAAGGGCCAGTCACAGACGGGGAGGAAAGGATGATGAAAGGAGGGATTTGCCCGGGCGGCTGCAGCCCGGGCGGGCGCTGCAGGGAGGCCCGGAGGCCCTGAAATCGGGGTTGGGGACTCTGTCCTCCGCGGACTCTCGCCGAAGCTGACTGGGCTGCCCCTCAGTCCCCGGCGAGCACGGCTGCCAGGTCTTCCTGCATGCGGGACAACCGGGCTGGCAGGGAAAAGGTCGCAGAGGGTTGTAAAGTCGGGGAGCCTGTCCTGTTTGGGAATGCAGCGGATTAAAAATGCCGAGTTGGGTCGGGAGGGCTTCTCCCGCGTCGCGAGTGTGGGTTCGGGCGCAGGCGGGAGGAGAGGCGGAGGGCACCGCGCACAGTAGCGAGACCCGCGCGATTCCCGCGGCACACCGAGCGAGGGCTCCGAAGGCCGGGGCGTGCGGGAGGGGCCGCGCTGGAGCGCCCAGCCCCAGCAGCCAAGCTGCTCTCTGTCCTCTGCTGTTTCCGCCCTCCACCTGCAGATGGGTTTGAGACCCCCGGCAGAATCAAAGGCCTGTGCCTCGGGAAGACTCGGGCGAAGCAAAGGGAGTGTCCTTTGGGGTGAAACCCGAGCTCCCGCCCCGCTCCGTCCCGCACAAGAGAGATGCGCGGGGGAAGTGCGGGCTCCAGTGCGGACCCTGGTGTCACATTCGACGAGCTCTCCCTATTGGCCCTAAGACCTCCGGAAAAGTCCATGCAGTCTCCCTTTCCCATCCTTCCCGACTGATATCGCGCCCCCATGGAAATCTCGCCCGGTGTTATTAACCGTGCCTTAAAAGGTGACTCCAAGTGTATCCATACGTTCTGGAGTCTCTTAACAGACCTGTCACCTGAATCATCCCAGGTGACATGGGGCTTGGTATTTTCTCCTTGAGATTTCAAGAGTCTGAACTTGGCTGGAAGTCTTTTAAACGAGGCAAATTCTTTTCCATTTCATTATTTGTAGATTGTTATTTTGTTCAAATTTGGAACCTCTGGAAACGAGACCCCGCCGGCATGCCATCATTTGAAAAAAAAAAAAATTGCCAATATCAGACTCTCAGGAAATAGATAGACAAAGCAAACAGGACCCAGAAACAGCTGGATGCAAGGCCCTGGCAAAGCGGTGGGAACCCAGCATGCCTCAATGAAACAGGCGGCAAGGAGAGCCCCTCTCTCCGGCAGTCCGCCTGCCCCTTGCCCAGTTTCCTTGGTGCAGACCTAGAATCCCCTCAGGGTGTTTTTGTTTTTGTTTTTGTTTTTAACCAAAATCGAACTGGGGTCAGTCCACCCTAGTGGACTTCTGCCTTCCCAGAGGCAGAAGGCGATGGGGAATTTAGACTGAGAGTAATCTGGCCTGGTCTGTCACTAGAGAAAGGCAGCCAGTTCGGAGGAATGAAGACCTGTTGTCCCCAAGCCCCAGGTAATGGCTGGGCACAGACGCAGAGGCTTCCTTGTTGAAGATATTGGTGCTTGGGGCGTGGGGTGGGGGGGGCGTTGTTCATACTGCAGCATGAGTTAATTGTTTGCGTAGACACTTTGAACTCCAGGAAAGTGCACAGTGAAATAATGTGATTGCTTTTAAACATTTTACTAGGGAAAATTTAAATATGCAAAGCATAGGGAGAATAGTGTTCAGAATCTCCAAGTGCCTATCACCCAGCTTCACTGATTTCTGCACCTTCTGCTGGTCTTGTTTCACCATGGTTAATTATTAATTGCAACATTTATCACTGTTCAGAAAACTGGAGGCTGCACCCACAACAGAAAACAGGGTCGTGAAGAAACTGCTGCATAAAGGACCAGGGTGGGGCGGGAGAGAACAGCCAGTGTTGCTTTACCCCTAAAACAAGCAGAGGGATGTGAAAAGTAGGCCCAAGGCCGGTGGCCACAGCAAGCCCGGCGGCCGGCGCCGCCCCGTAGGCGCGAGATACTACAGGGCTGGAGGGACGCCGACCGTTCCTGCCCTTTGGCTCCAAGGGGACGCCACCAGAAGGGAGCTCGGGGTTCATGGTGGCCTTCTAGTGTGAATGGAAGGAGACTGGGCTATGGAGGCTGGCTGAGAAGCACCCTTGAAGCTGAGGCGGAGGTGGCCCGCGGTGGCGGGGAGGCAGCCCAGGGTTGACTCCTGTGAGACTCAGGCCTGGTGTGGCTGAGGTTGCACAGTGCACGTGGTGTACACCCTGGTGCTCGAGGACACAAAAAGGGCAGTGGGTGAAGTTGGGGACTGTATGTCCCAAGGGAAGGGGGTGAAACCTCCAGGTACCTGCCTGCTGCATTCTGGAGCACACACATCTCCGAGTTGCAAGGAGTAAGGAGGCCTAGTGGGGAGTGGGCCCAGAAAGGAAATTGAAGTTAGGATACCAGCCAGGAAGAGGGTGCTTAAGGAAGGATGGTCGACAGACAGTTCAGAAGGAGGTAGCAGAAAATGCAGACCGAGGTGATGGGGACAGAGTGACCGACACTTGGGTTTCTGAAAGTAGCAGAGAAACATGATAGGCCTTGCTTTCTTCAGATGGCTGGGGCCTGTTCTAACAGATAGTTGTTGCTTTTAGAAGCAATGTTTCCTCAACCTCCTCACTCATATCTGAGATGAGAATAGGAAGGTCTGGTAAGTGGGGTGATAGTGTCCAGGAGGACCCTTGTCCTTAGTCCTCGGGTCCCCCATCAGGGGTTGCGGAGGGAGCTGTTTTGAGCTACTTGAGTGAGGACCGGTGGGCCCTGCTAGGCTTCCAGTCTGCAGTGGACCATGAGGCTCAGACTGTGAATCAGACAGGAGAGCAGTTTTCAGGCATCAGGACTAATGCGGGGCTCCAAGCCTGAAAGGGGCAGAGAACCACACCAAGAATCAGGTGCCCCTTGCAGCCTGCTGGGAGTCTATCCCAGAGGGGGAAACCATAATCTCCTTTGGAAGAGATGGGAAACACATAAAAGACATGGTTTACTCTTCCAGCTATGTGGAAACATGTCCTCCCTAAATTTTCTTTTCAGCTGAAATTAATAAAATGGTTTCCATCTACACTAATCCTGCAAATTTTCCAATTACCACCTGGGCTGACCTTAGCATGGTCGAAAGCAAGAGCTTCTTGCTGATCTCCCTCACCACAATTCTGTTTCCCCCTTGGCTGATGTTCGTTCCACTTTGCTCTCTGTAGAATGATCCCTTTTCCCTTTTACTGATTTTCCCAGCCCAGTAAATGTCTCAGACTTCTGGGTTCAGATGCCTTGAGTGTTTAAAAGAAATGGTTCTTTAACAGTTAGGAATCCGGTGGCTAATGGGGGAGTGTGGAGTGTGAAGGGGGGTAGAACAGGGTAAGCCAAGGAGAGGAAAGAGGAACAGGTCATAAAAATAGGCAGACCTACTCCTAGGAGGACGGTGCATCCCGCTGTCATTTCTTAATCTGAACTTCAGCAAACTCTTAAAAAAAAAAAAAAAAGGCGCCTGCCTTCCACGTTCCCAACCTCTAAATTAGTGAAACCAGATTGTCCTAATAAGACCTTTTGTTGGAAACACATGTAGTCATAAAAAGGTAGACGGAAAGTCAATTAGACACGCGTGCACACACGCACACACTCCCAAGCCGGTACTAAGTGTGCACCGGGGTGCAGCTGGGCCCCGGGCCTCGGCGGGTTGCAAATGCAGAACAGTGGCGCGGGAAATCGATTTGTCACAAAGGGAGAGGTGTAAACGCGGCGCGATGGAATTGCCCGCCCAATCCTCCCTCCACACTCCTCTGGCCCAGCTCCGCCAACTCCCCCCCCCCCCCCCCCCCCCCCCCCCCCCCCCCCCCCCCCCCCCCCCCCCCCCGCCACCACCACCCCAGAGGTAAGCCCGAGGGAGCGGGAACATTCTCTAGGGTGCTCCCTAGTTGGAATACACCTCAGAATATCAACTTCCCTGGAGTTTCATCTTTTGTAACACCTAAGGCGCCAGGAATTTCTGCAGCACAACCCTGGGGCCCCGGAGCTGGTGCTGGGACTCTGAATTTGGGCCTTAATTATCTTGATTCAAAGGGGAGCCAACGAAATATATCATTTTAAGGGTAGCCTGGAAGTTTTTTCTCTTTATAGGAGGCAGTGAAATCCAGGATCAAGGTAGGTCACTGAGTCCCCACGGTTGCATGTCAAGTTCAGAGAAGAGGTGGTAAATCTTGTTTATCTTACAGGCAGGAGCAGGGCGCTGGATGGCCTCCTCTTCATATTTTGGAAAAAAAATGGACAGTCTGGTGACTCCCACCCTCCTGGGGTAGAAGGGCAGCTTGGAGTGTGAAGGTCAGGGATCTGGGTCTGCATTAGTAGGAGGCCCCAGGCAGCCAATACTCTCTGGGGCTCCAGATCACCCAACTCTAGAGGACGTGAGCCCCTGCCCCCCCTTCATTTCTCTGATGGAGCCCTTTCCAAGACTCTGGAGCGCCCTGCCACACCTTAGGTGTCACGCAGCCGTGCATTTTGGCACAGCAGCTTTAACGGTCCCCCACATGCTTAGGTCAGAACATAGGAGTGTCAGGCGGGCAGCCGTGGATCACACGGAGCCCGGCAGTTCCTTCCTCTTCCCAGGGGCCTCATTTTAGATTTTACAGCAGGAGTGAATAAATCATCTCCAAACCAACAAGATGTCACACACACCCCTCCCCTGCGAAAAAACTCCAGCAGCTTCAGAACCAAGGATACCTTCCTACTCCACTGGCTCCGATCCACTCTGATCCAAGTTTTGAACGGCCCTCCCGGCCAGCAGCCACCTTCGAGGCCCTTTTTCACTTTTAAATGGTTATCTGTAGATTTTCAACTAGAGGTCTATTTGATTTTTATTTTAAAAGATGTTTCTTTTACAATTCCTCTCCTATCATACCCTG